AAAAAAACTGAATAAACTTTTGACATCGAATAGCTCAATATACACAATATTTTAGTTTTAAGAAATATAAAAAAAAAATTCTGCCAAGCTTTTTAATCTTTACTTTAAATAAATCAAAATTTTTTTAACATTGTACTGGACACATTTTTCAATAAAAAAAGCATAAGCCTCTAGTAAGGCACTCTGGTCAATAAAGATCATCCATAGAGAATGGTACAGCAGCTTAGCTACAAGTGCCAGTGGTAATACGTAACTTGTAACTTGACGAGGAAAGGAGCGCTTAATCTCGCGGTATTGACATCTCGATGAGCAATAAGACGATTCACTTCTTTGATTAGACTGACGGGCCGTTTGCACTTGCACTCGCACGCTACGCGTGTACGTATATATACATTTATATACAGCGTATTCGGTATGTGGGCGAGCCTGGCTGACTGACTGCCGGCAAACCTACATGAAATAATTGCCCGACTAAGTAGTCTTTCGCTCTGGCTCGCTATATACGAGCATACAGAGTAACGACTGCGAGAAACAGTTTGAGAAGAGTACAGATGATGATATTTGGGTCAATGGAATTTTGAACATTTAATTACTTATTTGAAAATATATTTTCATCGAAGGTTGCTTGAATATCCATCATTGTAAGAAGCTTAATAAATATTCACCGTATAATTATTCTCTTCCTGAATGAGGCGTGTGATTTCTAAGTAATTATCATTTCAATGTATTTCGATTCACAAGGATCAAATAATAATCAAAATATGACCTTTAGATATGTCAATGAAAACATCATTTATATCGCTACGTGTCCAAAGCATTTGTAAATAGTAAGAAGTACTATTTTGTTACATAATTTTTTGAGATAAAGTCAAAATGATTCATTGTGTCATTATTAATTAGAAAAAACGGGCGAAAAATGTCATTACCATAACCCAAAGATTTTGAAATTTCCATTTTTTAATGGCGTACGGAGTGTGGTCTTTCAAATTTTTTTATGCCGCAATATTCGAAAGCCAGAGACGCGTACCACCTTTTCTTGTACTTTAGAACGATGAAAAACTCATTTGAATTAAATAAATTGAATACTAATAGGTATAACGGTTTTATAGATCAAGTAAACGAGTGTGTATCTCGGAGCAGTTTCACATTTTTTATTAGGCAACTATAGAGCCTGAAAACACCTTGTGAGAATGTGTTACAATATAATTGTAGAGTCAGTCTGAATTGAGTTTCACATAAGTTAAAAAAAATAGTTTAAAAATGCTAAGCACTTAATTCATCCATTTTAAAAAAATGATCCATATAGATACTGTATATGATTCCCGTGTTTTGCTCATAAAAGGAGATAAACCATCTTACTTTCCATTCATTTCAAGAACTTTTTATTTTCAAACTTATTTTGAGGTTGTCATTCTTGCAGAGAAAGGAGAGAAAAAGTCAATATAGTATTCCATCCAGAGAATGACACAGTAAGTTATCAACAACGTAGAACGTGGTTCCTAGATAAATCAAGGAGTAATGGCTCTCTAGACGATAAGATCTGCGAATTGAACGTGGTTGCAGTTGTGAGTTAACAACAATAACTTTGTTACATTAATAAAAATTTCAACGTAGGTAGCAATAAGATGGATGATGAAAAACAAAAAATTTTACAGTCCGCAGCAGAAAAGACGAGATTCTGGCCTTACATGATGCAACAAAGTCTGTCCTACATGCTCGATCAGTTCTCCAGTAAGTATTACGTTGTCAAAACAGTTGACGAACTGTTGTTTACCGGCTTCGAAGATCACCTCATTTCCATGGGCAGGATGTCAGGATTGGATGACACTGCCCCACCCTTCGATCGTTTTGGCTGGTTTTACGAGGTGTGCTTTTAATCGTTTAATAGGTCGAATGCATTATTCATAAGATCTGATTGGCGCTTGCTCTACTTTCATGACTGTGTGCGTGCAATGACAAATTTTCATTTATTCTTCAAATTACGCATCATCTTGATGGCCGTCAGTGTGGCCTTACATTTATCTTGGAAGAAGATCCAAACACTTCACTTATCAAATCCGATTTGTCACGAGAAATTGCGAGATTCGACAATGAAATTTTCAAGCCTGGCTCAACTTGCGGAAAGTTATTGTCCCCACGTTTGACCACAAACTTTGCAAGGTTTTGGGGAAAAATCAATCCCATAATTACGCTACAATAAAAATACAACGCAAGTTTTGATTACAAGATAAACTTGGTAACTTAAGCATTTAATCACTAGAGAATTTTTGGAAATTTGGACAAAGTTTCGCCAAATATCCATGTTTTATACCATGTACAATACAAGTTTGGGAAAGTCTAGTTGAGCAAACTTGGAAGAACTTTTCGTAAGTTTGGCCAGACGTGGGAATGTATCCACCGCGAATGAAATTACTTGCGTGCACGAGCTTCGTACGTAGAAAGCCTCGAGTGATCTCGTTAATTACACGTAAGAGCTTAATCATCGCGGAGCAACGGCAGAAGCGAATATTTAAACGAACTCGATCGGCCTTTGAATGAACGTAGAACGCGATTCTTGGCCGTTGGTTTTAAATTGACACTGAATAGCTCCAGTTCGGATCTGGGTCACTGATTGAAGAAACAAATAGTTCAGAACACACGGTGGATGATAATTCGTTTCTCCAAGTGCTTCTTGACTATTCTTCGACGTGACACCTGCTTCTTGTCGTACATCTTGCCCCGCTCGTTATTCAATTTCTAAATTCATGTCAAACATTTATGTTATAAATACTTAATGAATCATTGATATCCTTCCAGAGAAATGGATCTACGATGTTTGATGGAACAAACAATATGGCAACCGGTGTAAATGACATAGAAAATCTGGGAAAAGTGTTAAAATGGAATTACCAAAACGCAACGAATTATTACGAGTCCCCTTGTAATGCAATTGAAGGTAGCGCAGGTGAATTCTGGCCCCCGTACAGGACTACGGAGGACATCCGACTCTTCACTCCTGACATATGCCGGTAAGGGTACCTTCATAGTTTTACTAGGACATTGGAGTACAAAAGTCATTTGATTCCAGACCAGTGACATACGAGTTTGAAAAGGAAGTAGTTTACAAGGGCATCCAGGGTTACAAATTTGCACTTGGCAAGAAAACCCTGAGCAACGACACACGCCGGCATTATCCACACCAGCAATTCAAATATGTCGAATCGATGACCACTGCGGAAGGTTTCTCTTCTGCCGATCCAACTGTTATCAAGCCCCAGCCCGAGATCGATAGAGACTTCAAAGAGATGAATGAGGGCAAGTGCTACTGCAACGGCGAGTGCTCGCCCATGGGTGTGCTAAATATAACGGCATGTCGTTACGGTGCACCGGGTTTCATTAGTTTGCCACATTTCAATAGAGGAGACAAAGTGCTCGCTTCGAGTTTCACTGGACTCCAGCCGGTCGATGATAAACATAGTTTCTACATAACTCTTGAACCGGTAAGTATTGGGTGTTGGTACTACAGGGAAGGCCATCTTATCGACTGCTTTTTTTATGATAATGATTGCATAACTCATTTGTTTTGCTCTATTGCGATGAGTTCATAACATTTGTTTTTATATTGTTACCTTTTATCTTTACAAAGCTCAGTTTATCTGTGTTTTTTTTTTTGACTTTTTTATAATTGTTACTACGGAAATATCGATGGTCATTTGTTTCGAAAAATCAACTAGTCATTCAAACTTGACAGTGCGTATACGTTTTCGGGACCACTGAAATTATAATAGTAATTGTTCACATAATCAGTTTCAAGTTTTTAAACATTAAAGTAATAAATGATGTACCTATTGATATTTTTAATCATCATTGAATATCTTTGAATCTGTAGCTACTTCCCGTTTTAATTAAAAAAAAAAAAAAAAATGGAATTTACGTTTTTAAGAGCCTGATGAAGCTACCACATCAAGTTAATGAAATGAAGCTTAAGCATATTTGAGTAAAAAATACATAATGCTTCTCTTTTTCTTTTGGCCGATCCCCAACCAATCATCTATAATGAACTCTACATATACGTACGAAAATTACGTTTTTATAAATAACTGGGGGCAACAACACGTGAACTATTTACCCCTCTCATAATGTACATTGTGTCTTTAAGCATCCAAGACACGTCACATTACGTAACCATTTAAGAACATCGTCCGTTGCACGTGCCAACGATTCATGAAAAAAATATGTATTTTTTTTTCATACTTTTTTATACCTTCCTTCCAGACGACCGGTATCCCAATTGACGTAGCTGCCAGATTACAGGTCAACATCTTGCTACGGCCGTCAAAAAGCGTGGTGTAAGTATATATATAAAAAAATAAAAAAAATCCTCGCACGATCCATTGATAAGTCGAGCATGTCTCGGTTAGTGCTCTTAAGAGTCGTATCAGCTGCCAATTTTTTATCGCTGGATACTTGTTGGCTACTGATACACATTCGCGTGATATCTTTCTTTCAAGATCTCACTCTTAGATCACTTTTCAGTAGCAATGAGCTAAAAATACATCACGTTCAAGTTTAATAGGCACCTACGATCGATCCGTATCGTATTTGCCATACCAATTTTATTAAGTATGAACATAGTTATCAGCCATTAATGTAGATACTAGTTTCATGCTCTGTAATAAGAAATATCAAATTTATAATGAAGCTTTGTCAAACAGAGGCTTTATGTTTACTACTCATCAGTTTGTGGGACAACCCGAGGACTTGGTTTATGAAAAAGACGATTTTTTAATCTACCACTACTATTTTTTAATTAACATGTTATATATTTTCGAACCGCAACAATCATAATTAAACTAACAGTTCTCAATATGCTTTATGGACTGCTTTGTGCTCAACACATTATTACACTTATTAACAATTGATTACCTTATTTGTACCTAATTCATTTTATATACATTTTTATGTTTCTTTTTAGATACTTCATTTTTGCATCTATTTTTTATATGATCTTAAATTATACAACTTTATTGACAAGTATGCACAACTTATATAATGTATCTAGAAAATATTTACCAACGTTACATTACGACACCTTGTTGTTGCTATTTCACTATTGTTTCTATCCTTTTAAAACCATCTTAGAGAACTTTCGGATTTTTTACTTTAAGTACTGCTTATCATACTTGAGATTACTTATCTTACTATTGGGTTTTATATATTGTTCATTATTTACCCTGTTTCGATTAAGTAGTTCTTATCCATGTTCATATTGACAGCACTTATAATCATACAATGCCACTGTCAGTGACACGTAACATATCTTATTGTTAACTTCCTTGAATGATAACTGCAATCATTCAAATCATCATTCTTGATTGTTATCATACAGTTTTAATTTGCTTTATCAAAATAAAATCCTTGTGTAAGAATAAAAATGTTACGTTTTGATGCAAAATATTGAAATACATAAAATATTTCAAAAAATTTTTAAGCATGTTTATATGTGTGGATAAATCTTTGTGTCATATCTTCAAATTTTCTTGGGCAGTTTTTGATTGTGCAGGGCTTCAGAAATTAGTCTGTGGTGTCTTAAGGTAGCTCACAAATAAAATTTGAGAAAAAATTTAAAGAAAGCTTTGTTACGGTCCAATTAAAAATTTCTCACGTGAAATGTTTTAATACATGTTTCATGGTATGGGCATATTAAACATGCTATTTACAATACATTTTTGTTATTATCTGTATGACTTTCTTAAGGATTCTAGTTTATTACTACGATAATTATGTAAGTTATTATTATTTATTAATATTCTTATGGTTATCATTTTCAGAATGTTCAAAGATGTTCCTACATTATATTTCCCGATGTTCTGGTTTGAAATGAAAGTTGGGATCCCAGATGACATGGTGGGAAATTTAAAGTTGTTTCTAAATTTAACAACAATATTGATGATCACTGGATTGGCGCTAGTTCTTATTGGTTCTTTCATACTCTTTGGAGTTGCTGCGAATTATTATGCCAATTATCAACACCAGTTTACACAGGTACATATTATTACTCGTAGTTTAGAAATGATATCTTGTTCTTCTATAAAAAGAAATAGTTGAAAAATAACGCCTTTTAGTTATCATAAACTAAATCGTTTTTTATATAATTTTAGATTTTTATAAAATTTTATATCTGTTTTTAAATGAAGCTGTACTATACTAGTGTGTGAGATTTACATCCAACACCAAAAGCCGCATTGAAAATATTTATTATAATACGTGTATGACAATTACAGTACTTGCGTGATAGACTTACATTTATGGTTGATGCCAGTAACTCCAGCCATCATTAATAGTGCGAGAAATTTTCTTTTCCGCATTTATTGCGTAAATAGCTATTGTTTTTATCCATCAAATTTCAAAATACTATAAATTCAGAAGTATTTAATTACTATAATGAAATATGTAATGGTATATTACGTACCTAGGCCAGAAAGTGGGGCTATTACTGACCGCGCTATATTATCGGCCGAGCCGAAGGCGAGTTCCTCCGCCGAAAGTTCGTCACCACGGTTTTAGTTTTGTTAAAAGTTTTGGTTTAAAGATCCAGTCAAAGATTTAGTGCATTATGCATTATTGTTGATCGATCGGTCGCTCGAACAATACCACTTAAATGCACGTAGATGAGTGTTCATGTGTATAGGTATATCTATATATATACGCTCGCCGAGACTGTAGTATATTATATAGAATCAGATTGGGCCGAGGATTTGTGCAGGTTGGTCGTGCTGGCAAAACGAGAGGAAGAGAAATCCGTTTAAATTCGAATTATGGATCCTATAAAGATCATTTTAAAAATCCTAATGTTTATATCCGTAAGTGCAAAATAAATCAGGTTATTATCAATAACTATTATAATTGTGATAGGCATAATTCGATTAAATAAAAGATTTCATAGTTTATTTTTGTAATATGACATGTATATACTACATTTATATACTAAATAAATCATTAAAGTGAAAGTAACTGATCAAAAAACATTAATTTGGTAGTTTTAATTTTGTGTTGTGTACTCTGTTCATATGAAATTAATAAATTTATATGTACATGTAAATTGTGCAAAAAAAAAAATATATATATATACATCCAATAATTTATGTAAATAAATATCCAACGATTTTCTGTGTTGTATAAACTATAAAGGTTATAACTCCGTTAGCCATATATATGTATTGTATAACTACTGCTGCTTCTCGGTGCTGAATATATAACTATATATATCTGCGCACATATGGCAGGACTGATATGAGGCTTTTTCTAGCTCAAAATCGGGTCAGATGGAACGAACTTTCGGCGGAGGTGTAAGGAAAAATACGTTTTGATGCAGAGAAAAGTTCTAGCACATAGTCAACACATATGTCAATATTTTATTTTAAAAATATTAAATCCGACATGTACACCTTGAGTTCTAGTATAGACTTAGTAATATCATTGTAAAAAATTTTGGTCTAAGGCTATAAAACGCATTATTATTTTTCAAAAACATGAACGAATGGAAACAATTCAAATATTTGATCATTTCGCTAGAATTTTATTTTGTTTTTATTTATGCATTTTTTTGTTTTTATCATTTATTGATTAGAAAAAATATTTTGCTTCTGTTTCTGAAAATGCGATTAACAACATTTTGAACATTCTTAAGGTACTTTTTATTTATTTGATGGGTTTTAATCTTTTTATGCCCCAGTAAAAATTTTAGTTTTTATGATATCGTAAAGGCTTTCGGGTATTACTTCAGTATTTTATTGGAACTACTTTGAAAAAAAAACAAAAAAATTAAACATATCTTTTTTTTTGTCACCACAAGTATTTTTTAATATTATTTTCTTTTTATTAATATTTAAATTATATTCCAAATAAAATATGCTTAAACTTAAAATAATCAACTAACTAATATTATGGTATAATTTTCTGTAGAATAAGCCCAATGGAGTGGACATGTCACAGGTAAAGACCGAAGTTGTATACATGGACAAAGCTGGTACTAGCGAGGATACTCAAACAAGAACTGACCGTCGTTTGCACCCAAAACTTTAGCCAACGTGTTGTAATGTGAAATCGTTCACAATGAGAAGAAAAAATACTTTTCGAATCGAAATGTTCATCAAGTTTTCACGCAGCCCTGGTTTTTTCAGTGCTTTCACTGAAAAACACTCCAGTACAACATCTGTGAATAAGTGAATTGCATTCCAGTGTTAAATGTGATTTTAAATTTATCAAAGATAGTTTTGTTAATAATCTGAGAGATGATAATATCTGCATCAGTAAGACCCAAATAAATCATGACATGTACATCGTTTGATAACGATGTTGTAAGAGACTGATTTTAATCAGAAAAAAAAGTTAAACAAAAAAAAGAACAGTCAGTGTCACTGACACAAAGTTTTGCCATACATGCAAATAAATTTATAAAATTGTACGATTAGGTTATCTTTATTCCACTGACAAACTGATTTTTCATTTTATTATAAACGTATTCGAACAATGCCTTGCAGCAGAATTTTATATAAATTGACAATTTTTAAAAAAGTTGGTTAAGCATAAATATGTAAGTGAGATGTATGAATATACATGTACTATGTATAAAAACTCTTTAAATTAAAATGACTGTAATTACTACAAAGCCAACAATCAAATAATCTAAATTTAGTCGAGTAACCCAACTATCAAGTTAAGTATATTTGTGTCTAAATGAAAAGAAAAAAACATATTTTCAAGTGTAAATGTTGTGAAAATTCTTTGTATAAAGTTAGTATTGGTTTTGTAAATGCGATACACAGAGTTTATGATTGAGAGTGTATTGTGAATAACTATAACTTTTAAATCGTTTTTTATATAATTTTAGATTTTTATAAAATTTTATATCTGTTTTTAAATGAAGCTGTACTATACTAGTGTGTGAGATTTACATCCAACACCAAAAGCCGCATTGAAAATATTTATTATAATACGTGTATGACAATTACAGTACTTGCGTGATAGACTTACATTTATGGTTGATGCCAGTAACTCCAGCCATCATTAATAGTGCGAGAAATTTTCTTTTCCGCATTTATTGCGTAAATAGCTATTGTTTTTATCCATCAAATTTCAAAATACTATAAATTCAGAAGTATTTAATTACTATAATGAAATATGTAATGGTATATTACGTACCTAGGCCAGAAAGTGGGGCTATTACTGACCGCGCTATATTATCGGCCGAGCCGAAGGCGAGTTCCTCCGCCGAAAGTTCGTCACCACGGTTTTAGTTTTGTTAAAAATGATGGTTTAAAGATCCAGTCAAAGATTTAGTGCATTATGCATTATTGTTGATCGATCGGTCGCTCGAACAATACCACTTAAATGCACGTAGATGAGTGTTCATGTGTATAGGTATATCTATATATATACGCTCGCCGAGACTGTAGTATATAATATAGAATCAGATTGGGCCGAGGATTTGTGCAGGTTGGTCGTGCTGGCAAAACGAGAGGAAGAGAAATCCGTTTAAATTCGAATCATGGATCCTATAAAGATCATTTTAAAAATCCTAATGTTTATATCCGTAAGTGCAAAATAAATCAGGTTATTATCAATAACTATTATAATTGTGATAGGCATAATTCGATTAAATAAAAGATTTCATAGTTTATTTTTGTAATATGACATGTATATACTACATTTATATACTAAATAAATCATTAAAGTGAAAGTAACTGATCAAAAAACATTAATTTGGTAGTTTTAATTTTGTGTTGTGTACTCTGTTCATATGAAATTAATAAATTTATATAT